CACAGCATAATTCAGTGTAATCAGAAATAAGGGCAGAGCATTCTAGAGAATGTGGCTAGTCTTAGACCAGCTCAGCTTATTTAACAAGCACAGATCCTTGGAGCAAAAAAGGTAGCGTATTTCTGGTTCAACTACTGGTTCCTACTAACTCCATGTCATGCCAAATCCACTCGTCCCGGCCCCCCACATCAAAGGAGCACTCTCTCCTGGCAGCTTCCTGAAGGTCTCCAATGCAGCACACATCTCTGGTTGGCCTGAATGTTGCCTTCATCCTGAAGCTACAGCCCCAAAGCCTCTCTCCTCCCTTTCCCCTTGATGCCAGTGGCCCTGGAAGACGCCTCAGAGAGTTCATACTCCCCCCACCCACTATGAATTTGCCACTTCTAAGAAGCTATTCACTCCCCATGTGAGAAACAGAATGAAATCCCAGGTAAATGGTAAGTCAGAGGATGTGAAGAGATGTTCCCATGTTTATTTAGTGTGCTTCCATTTCATTCTTCTACTTGTAAAGGCATGAAACAGTCTGAATAGTCTTTGCTGTGCTGGGTGTGTGGTCAAACACAGTACATGGGCTTATGGAAAGGGATGGGCAAAGCAAAAGGGGCAAAATCTCACTACATTTAGCTGTCTTTTCACACAGTTTTAAAAAGCAACAATACTCGGGGAGTTTTCTGGAATGTAAAGAGAGAAAGTAGATAATGAAATTCCAGACATAAGGCATGTCACAGAAACTGTGACCACAAATAAGGAATTAAGCTTAATGTCTTTAAAATAGAATGATGTATGTAAATGAGCAAAAAGATGAACAAATTCAGTATTTACTAATATGGACTATTTATTGTGGTCCCCTCTTTTTTCTTTTTTTTTGCTGTCAGAAAATCTAATAAAATTAGGATAAACAAAATATTGAGAGTTCCTGAAAATTATCTTAATTACAAATGGATTTCTTGGAAACCACCCAAGACCTAGAAGAGCTCACCTCACAAGCACCAAAACAAGCCTTGATGGCAAACTTTCCAGGAAGCTTTCTTTTTATACACGACTGGAGCCAATGTTGTTTCCGATGCTTGCTAAGAGTCCCTTCAAATTTCCTTTATTAGGATACCATGTTTTCCTTAAAAGGAATGAGCAATTAAAATATCTTTATACGTACACACAGATAAATTCCGATGATCTGTGACCACCAGAAATAGGAATAAGTTGGCAATTGATCTAATTAGACCATTTAAATCCAAAGTTGCCAATAATTTCACAGCACTTACACCCTAACAGCAAGCTTCTTTTGACTTGTTTGCCTTTATTGCTAGACATTAAGCTCACTGAGGGCAGGGATCCTATTTTTATCCCAGTTGCTTAACACAATGCACATGGTATGTGCTAAAATCTTTTGAGTGTATGAATTAAGCAAATAGAAATAATAAAACGAAATTCTCCTATCCACTCAGCGGTTCATCACTAGCAATATCCCAGGTAAATCCTCACATTTTGCCTTCCTCATTCACTCCCTGCTGTCTTTCAGGAGAAACTCCAGTTTCAGCTGAAATAGGTCAAATAATAGGTTACCCCTCTGGCTTTGGTAACTCCACACTAATAACTGTTTGCTAATGAAATGACTTTGCGTATTGACACCTTTAGCAAATTGGTTGAAGTCTTTCCTTGAGTTACAATATCACTTTTAATTCATTTAAAATCTACATTCCCTTTTGGAAGAAATATAAGCAAAGCTTTGGAGCTTGCACAGCCCATCTTTTGAGGCTCTACTGGTGTGTGGGAAGGTTGGGTGGGGAGAAGATTCCTTTCAGCTCAGTGGACCTATGGTTCGGCTAAGTTAGGATGCTGCAGGCAGTGCATTTCCTTGCTCTCAAAGCCACCTTAGCTTCTTGGCAACTGGCATGGGTAACATATTTGTAGATAAGTGCACTGACTTATAGGACAGACACTGAGAGGGTTTCCTGTCCCAGCTGGATGATGGGAACTCCAGCTTAGCAAATGGGCCACTGCCCCATTTCCTCATCTATAAAATGGACTGTTGGATGAGACGCAGGTTACTCTGCCCAGCAATGTGTCCTGGTTCTTAGGCAATACTGCCAATGGCCTGAAAGCAAAGCTGTCTTGGGGGTGAGGGTCTTGTGGGCACTGAGACCTGACACCTTCCTTTCTGGGGCACATCCATGAAAGTCTATGCAAGATACCCAGTTTTCCTTTGGAAACCCCCAAAGTTATATCTGCCAGAGTTAATGACTTGGCCTACTCACTTGATTCTACGCTGACAGATGACAAAATATTTCAGTGAATTTCATTTTAATCTGTAATTCATAAACTGTTTCCAAATATGATTAAGTAACCTGGCTTCTCTGTCACTTAGGGTTTAGCAAATGTTGGGTTATAGATGTAAAATTTATTTTAAAATCAAGCATGTTCAGAGAACTTTTGCCAAGCATAAATGTAAAAGAGAGGAAAAAAAAAAGAAGGAACTTTAGAAATTTCTTACTATTTAAAAAAAATAAATAAATAAAATCAAGTATGAAAACATTAGGACTGAGTCTCTCTCTGAAAGCCTTTTAAATGAAGATATTGTTTTCACCTTAAAGTAACTACGATAGTTTCCTGTTTATGTCACGAGACTTTGAATTTCAAATAACAAAATTTTACAAGGTCTCTGTATATTTCAAAATATAAATTTCACAGAAACACTTTTAAAATGTTTCCTATTATAAAACAAGTTATCTTTTTCATTCATCCAAACAGAGGAAATACACATCTGTGTTCAGTACTGTGTGTCCTATTTCTCAACCACAATCCATTGACAGACCTCCCCTGCTCAGTTTTACATTTTTTGATGAGTGCTTCTTGGCCTATAACCAGCTGTGAACACACAAACGAACAGGCAGCCTTCTGAAGTATGGGTAGGAGCTGGGGAGGAACTTACTGCACTGGGGCACAAAGTCGGCTGTTTGTGAGACTCCTCACTGGGTGGAAGTGCCCTGAGGCCAGGACTTCTATGTCCTGTGTCTTTCTGGATGCAGTGCCCAGAAAAAGACCAGCCCAGACCAGGTCCTCCATATACACTTGCAGAATGAATTTCTCGGAAAGATTTTAACAAGACTTTCAATCTCTCAGGGTTTTTTTCCCCCTTAGCGATAGAATAAGGATAGTAACACATGCGACCCCGATTTTTACAATCATCAAATAACAGAAAGCTGGGGAATGCATTTGTAAAGAAGAGAGCATTGTATTGGTACTAACCATCTTAATGAGACCTCCACCACCTAGTACAGGACCTAGCACATAGGACACACTAATTGATTATCTATTAGATTACATTTATTTTCAGCCCATTTGACCTCCTGCATCGCTGAAGGTTTATGTATGACTTCTGGAAACTGTATTTGTACATCAAAGAAACTTTGTTTCTATTCCCATCCCCACCTTGTTTCCCACTGTCTTCTTTTTGGAGGCACTTCCACAGCCCGGTCCTCCCAGCTGAACCCTAACACCAGAGACGTGTGTATCCTACAGGTAGATTCCTCAACTCCCACCGGTCAGCCAGTGTCTAGAGCTGCTCTTCATAAACAATGTCTAGAGTTTGCCTCTTCTTGGCAAAGGCAATAAATGGAAGGAGATGAGGAGTTGTCTAATAAACTGGCATTGTGATGAAACAGGAAATAAAAACATGTATCTGGGTAAAGATAAATACTGTTCTCAGTTTCTGATCTTGTCAACTTTAGATTTTTAAATGCCTGTGTTCCAGGAAAATGATTTGTCTCACTGAGGGGTTGCTGAATTTCTCTCAATATTAGACTTAAAGCAAGTCCTCCTCCAGTACTGGATTAACAGTTTTGTTTGAAAGATGTGTTTTACCCTCGGGAACCGGCCATGCCTATCCTATCTAGTACTTCCAATTCTGATTAAGGGATGCCATAAGAGAAACTTTTCAAACAAGTAATTCTCTTCTTTTATGTCTATTCCTGAGCTCTGCTTAGAAATCTCTGGATTGTTACAAAACGCATGCCTATGTCTAGTATCATGGCAGCTGGGACAAAGACAACCAAGATGAAACATTTGAGATTATTCTAGTTGAAACTAACCAACCAAAACCCTACAGGTGCCAGCCTAGAGGCAAAGGCGGGACAGTGTCGGGCGAAATCTTTGGGTCACAGCCTCAGTCTCCCATCACCATGTCTGTTTTTCACTTAAACACGTTTCACTGTTTTGTCATCTATGGATTCAACAATGTGATTTGGATACTAGAATTAAGAGAACAAGATTTGATGGTTGAAATAAAAAACACAACAAGAGAACCATCCACAAAGACACCCTAAGATGCCAAGATGCCGGACAGGTAGAAAGGACAGTGCTTTGGGAGCACCCTGGGTTTTCAGGACGAAAGTGTATCCACCCCGACGCTGCGGGATATTGCATCAGGCGCTTCGCTCCCGAGCGCCGTTTTAGACGAGACGCCTGAGTAGATTGTGTTGCTGCCCGTTCTTTCCCGTTCTGTGAATTCTACGCTGACTTCAAATGCATGAGCGAGCTGCAAGATGAGGTGGGACCTGCCGGCCCGGCACTGTGACAGCACCTGATCGGAGCCTCGGAGGGCGGAGCTGAGGGGCCTCTCCACTCGGGACTTTGATGGACCACCGCGGAACGCCCTGTGCCATGCACGGTCCACCTGCAGAGAAGCCCCCTCCTCACCCGGGACACCTTGTGGCCCACAGGGGACCACCCCACACTCCTGCAGACGGCGGCAGAGAAACGAGCTGGAAATGCAGCGCGGGTGGAGCTGACCCCCGCGAGGACCCACGGACCGCCCAATTACTACGGAGTCCCAGCGACATCGTTTGGGGCCATTTGGTTCCGTTTTCGGAACCGGACTAGCTTTCCAGTAACTTGAACTCCCCGACGGGTCTCGGGTCCACCCAGGGGTAGCGAGGCGGGCTCGGACGGCCACCGCCCGCTCCGCGCCCGGCACCTGCGCGCCCCGAGGGTGGCCGCATTACCTCGAGCCGGCTCAGGCTGGAGCTCTTGGAGCGCGACTTCCTGCGCAGGTACACGGAGAAGAACCTGCGCACCGCGAACTTCTTCATGTTCAGGTCCATCGCCCCGCGCCCAGCCTGGAGCAGCCGCAGGGCCGGGGCACGCGCATCCCTGGCATCCCAGGCGCGGGGCTCAGGTCCGCGGGCAGGCGCGCGTGGCCGGGGAGCCGGGCGCAGCGGCCATGGGCGCGGGGCGTGGGGCGCGGGCTGTGGTCACAAAGGGCAGGCCTCGCCCGCCACCGCGGCCGGGGCCCCAGGCGCTCCCTCCGCCTCTCCCTCCGCCTCCCCTGCGAGTACCAGCGCCAGCCAAGCGCCACGCCCACGCCACGCCCACCGCCACTACCGCCAATCAGCACCCGCCGCTCCCGCCCCGGCACGCACACCTCCTCCTCCTCCGCCCCGCCTCACCACTACCACCAATCAGCGCTCACCGCCCCGCCCGTTCCCGCCCACCACCAGCACTGCCAATGAGAGCCCACCGCCGCGCCCAGGAGTGCCCCACGTCTGCCGAGACCTCCAATCAGCAGCGTGGCCCTGCGGCTCCAGGTGCTCATCCCTCCTCCTCTTTCTACTCCTTCCTAGGAGTACCAGCTCCAGGCAGCCCCGCCCCCGCACGGTTCCGCCCACGGCCCCGCCCACAATATTGTCCGCCAATCAGCGCCCGTGGCCGCCGCATGCCTAATGAGCCTCGGCCCAAAACCGCTCCCGGCTGGGGCGGGCTGTGCAGCTGCTCCGGAGCCGCGGGTCGCGGGGTCCCTTCCCTGCACCTTCGGCCCGTCTGCTCTTCCTTCCATTGTGGGGCCGTCATTACGTTTTCCTTCTTAAAACACCCCTATGCACACTTTGTCATGTTTTTCTCTGCCGAACCAAACTTAATTGTTGACCGGCAAACGCTTCTGGAAAACCCAACCCAAACCGCAGCGCGCAGCGAGCAGGGCACCCTCCCCGGGCCGCGGGCCCTGCAGCCCGGCCTGGAGCCGCCCCCCGGACGGCGCTTCCCTCTGCCGGTGCGGACAAAGGCGCCCGAGGGCGGGGGCTCCCTCCCGCGGCTGCAGAACAAAGACGCATCCGCCCTCCTCGCCGCCCGCTCTAGGAAACGTCTACACCGATGGCTTCTCAGGCCCGCACTGGGAACACCCGGGGCGCGGTGACCCGGGTCTAGGGCAAGGCCCTCAGGCCCACTGCTGCCGGCAGCGCCGCTCGGGATCTGCCTTACGGGGAAACATCGGTTTTTCCCCCAGGGCGGCAGGAAGCTGGGATCTGCGGGCTGGCGATCCCGCGCAGCTGCCTCTGCTTCCCTCCTGCACGCGTGGAGTTTGTGTTTGAAGCGCGGAGAAAGGAGCTCCCGACCTAACACCGTCACCACCGGCAAAGACCGGAGACGAGCGTGGGAGAGCCGACGGGTCCTGCTTGTCCGCAGTGCGAACTGCGGACATCCTCGCGTTGTTTTGCCTCCTGGACTGGTCAGACGTCGCGCTAATACTTGTGGCAGGCTATTTTGGCTAAGGTGGGCAGAGAGGTCAGAATGTCCTTGAATAAATAAGAGCTTTAAGCTCACGCTGCCTCCGGGCTGAGGCTGCTCAGACAGGCTCTCTGGGTGTCCTGGAGACCGGCGCTGAGTGGCGCTGCTCCGGAGTGGAAGCAGGGGGACAGTTCGGCTCCATCCTTGCCTGGTGAACTTGGGTACCGTTGCGCGTTGTTACACGGCTCATCTCTAAGAGGAAAATCCGAGTGAAACTTGCCTCATCTCCCTTACTGGATACCAAGAGGCTTATGCAAGATCACGGATATGGGAGTGCTTTGTGAATTTTAACAGTGTAATTGATTTTCATATGACGTATTAAAGGATCTATAAGGACTATTTTCCTTTAAAAGCAGAAGTGCAGGACCCCACAAGGACACCAAACACCGCTTTTTGCTGCTTTTCAAGAGGATGTGCCAGTTGAGTGCCCATAAAAACTGGTTTTCCTGCTTCCTTTAATGTTCTGCTGGGAAGGTAGTAACCTGTGCTCTCAGAGCCAGCCTTTTAGTGCCCTGTGTCCCTGCTGGAACCCTCAGGCATCCTAGCTCTAGGCAAACACAAAAATCCTAGCTCTAGGCAAATACTGGACCCAGCGTGGGAAGCAGTAGATGGACCTGCGACTGGACACAGACTCCAGAGATAAGGGAGGGCCAACCCGACCATGCTTGCCTCAGAAGGGGAGCAGGTGATACTGTCCAGAGACAGGAGTGCAGAATGGCAACTATACCAACCAGTGGGCATCCTGTTCGAGACAAAAGCCCCGAGGCAGGCCTAAGCCAAGGCTTGTGTTGTACCAAGAAGAGCATTTTGACCTGATCAGACAAAACTGGAAAGGAAATATCTCATGGGACGTTCATGAGTTCCTCAAATTTGAAGGCAACAAAACTGTTCTGTTGAACTTGGGGGGAAAATCAGATTTCAAACATGGAATTCACTGCTAGAACAATAAACCTGTTTGCCTTTTTGTCCTGGTAAAATGCAGGTATACCACAATCTCAAGTTATCACTGAATACTACTTCATGTGTTTGTATAATGAAATCCTCCAAAACCAATAAATCTGGAGTAGGTATAATATCAAGACCCATTGCAACCTACATCCCAATTATCCATACCAAATACCAGAAAAGAAAAGTGAACTTGACAAAGGCTCTTGCCCAGATGATGGAATGGGAGAGGGCTGAAGAGAAGATAAAGAGCTTGGTAGACTTCTGAGTGTCCCACATTTTCTGTGACTCAAGCACACAGTTTGAGACTGAATGCCACGGCTCCTGCTACCTCTGAGCACCAGATTAGCTGAGGTGTGGTCAGTGCAATTCTGCAAGTGATTATCGAGCACCTACTAACATCTGGCACTGTGGCTTTCATTAGGGACACAAAATGATTACGGCATCCCAAGAAGTTCACAGTCATATGGAAGAGAAGGTGAGTGAACTGAGAACGTTGATGCCGTTTTTATGTGATGTGAAAGAAATGCCTGCCCGTAAGAGAGGAATGAGAAGGCAATTTTAACTGGCGAAGTCAAAAAGGAGATGGCCTTTGCTCTGAAGCCCTGAGGATAAAAAGATGATGGAATATATTTCCTGGACAGACAAGAGGAGGTGGGAGTCCCAGGCTAAGGAATAACAGGGCAAAGTCAGGGGACTGTGAGAAGGTTTCCCATCTCTCCCGCCGAATGAGGAAGGGCATACAGAAATCAACAGCAGCAACACAGAGAGAGAACGACCAGAAGAGAGACACGAAAAGCAGGAGACCAAGGGAACTTAATTCAAAGGAAAGGGAAATGGGAACCAGAGCTTAGTGAGGGAGGAGGGAGCAGAGACCCACAGCGCAAGTCAGGAACAGGTCGGAGAAGCAGAGGCACGCTGAGCAGTGTGGGAGCCCAGAGGACAACGTGGACCCGACGCGGGTATGAAATACATCAGGACCCTGCAATCCCAGCACTTCAGGAGGCCGAGATGGGCAGATCACTTGAGCCCAGGAGTTCAAGGCCAGCCTGGGCAATATAGTGAAACCCAGGTTTTCTCTACTAAAAAATACAAAAGTTAGTTGGATATGGTATGCATGACTGTGGTCCCAGCTACGTGGAAGGCTGAAGGGGGAGGATCACTTGAGCCTGGGAGGCAGAGACTGTAGCGAGCTGAGATCATGCCAGTGCGCTCCAGCCTGGGTAACAGAGCCAGAGCCCATGTCAAAACCCAAAAACCAAAAAACAGGCTCAGAGAAATGCCTAAGTCCTCAGAGCAAGAAAGGAAATTAGGGCAAAGTAAAGGAGTGAGTTTCTTTTTTTACCTCTGGCCAGTGTTTAAGGATGGGATGCTCAGAGCTGGGGGTGTCTGGGCCCCCTGAGGTCATGCTAAGCATGGCACAGCAGAAAATTGGAAACATTCTGGATCCTTGATAACACTGTTGAGTTACTGCATTAACCAATTCTGTAGCCAAATCCCTTTGAGGCTTATTTTGGTGGAAAATAACAAATCTTTTCATTGAGCTGAGTTTTCTGTCATTTGCACTTAAAAGAATCCTATCTGATAGATTGAGCAAGGCACTCGTTATTCACTTGGTTAATCCATAGATTTAAATCTAGTCACTAAATCTAAATTTTTATAAAAATTACTTAAAGATTATTTAATAGTCATAATATTTGTAAAACATTATGGTAGAAATGCTGTGAGATGATAATTACAGTTATAATTATAGGATGGAAGAACTACTTGTTTGAATGCATTCGCATATCATGCGTTTCATGATCTCTTCCTCTGCACTCAGCACTGTGCCCTCTCACAAGATCATCACAGGCGAGTGACAAATTATCAGATACGAAAATACACTATGAGTCAGCAGAACATGCCACGCTTTAAAGAAGACAAACATGCCGCTGGCCCACGCAGAGGGAGGAAGGACTAGAGGGACACAGTGGGATGGGTTTTCAAACTGGGCAAGCAGAGACGAGATCAGAAAGAGTGAGCATCTTGTGCAAAGGCCCTGGGGTGAGAGACACTGTGTGGCCAGAGCATGGGCTCAGGGTGTGGGCTTAGGTGGAGGGAATGACATTTGTCCTAAGCTTAGCAAAGGGGCCACTGAAGCATGAAGCTGAGGACAACAGGGACACACTTGCATTGGAGAAAGTGCTCCTGGCAGCAGGGTGCACAGCAGAGGAGAGCCCGTGGAAGGTGGACACAGAGTCAGGGAGACAACCCTGTGACAATCTTGCGGGCAGGACAGTGTCATCATGAAGAGCAAACCACGATGGCCACTGTGGTGGAGAGCAAGAGGCCGAGGTGGGAGGTGACGCTGGCAGCAGAACTCATCAGAGACCCAGGGGCTGCAGGGAAGGAAACAGGGCCAGCGTTTCCAGGACAGGTCCTCACGTCCTCAGGCGCCATCTCCAAGTTGCTCCCCCTCCTTCCTCATCCCCTCCATTTTACCACCTCGGAACCAAAATCGCTGAGCCTTTACCTAGTACACTCAGATGGTTCCCTGTAAATCTACGACTTGCAAAACTGTCGGATTTTATTCCAACGTGACCACAAACATGGAATAACAAAGACACCTACCTGTAAATTATGTGAGATGAGAAAATAACACGTAACTCTAAAGACAGAATTTCATTTGCACATGTTTTTGGAGGCAGAGTCTCACTCTGTCCCCCAGGCTGGAGTGCAGTGGTGTGATCTTGGCTCACTGCAGCCTCCTCCTCCTGTGAGTCTCCTGCCTCAGCCTCCTAAGCAGCTGGGACTATAGGCATATGCCACCATGCCCAGATAATTTTTGTATTTTTAGCAGAGATGGGGTTTTGC